TCTTCCCTTTCGGCAAGACAAAACCTACAGTTATTCCGAGCTCTAAAAGATTCAACAAATCCAAAAAGGCCATGTAAACCAAGATTATCTCCCGTTACTTGGACAATGCTTCCACGCACAAATCCGGCAGGGTCCTTGTATACCCTTGTTTTCAAGGACTTTTATGTCATTTACAATAGGTTCCAATATTGTGTCAAATCCATATGTTTTGATGTATGATGTATGTTTGTTAGAGATGAATTAAATTGTGGTGGGAAATTTCTCAAAGTAAAATATATACCGCCTAATTTGTGAATTCCCTTTTTTGACCCCAAAGGATTGGCAGTCTCGAAATCATCATAATACAATTGAATCTGAAGTGCATTTTTTTCAGTCGAAAACAGGGGATGACTTTTTATGTACAGTTCATCTTCAATATCAGAGTAAATACCGTTTTTATTAGGTAAACCTGACTTGAACCTACATGTGGTGTTTGGGTGCTTTAAAATGTTCTGTAAGGTTTGGAGTATTGGAACATAGGCAAACTTGTCAGTCACTGCAACTTGCTCATAAGTTCCAGTAGTCCTGTTTTTTCTGTTGTCAAATCTGACCCCAATTACTTTCTCCACAGGCTGGACAATTCCCCATTTTTTGGTAAAATATGATTTTCGTTTAGATATGGAATTAAGCATGGTGAAAGGGTTTTCAATTTCATGGAATGACTGCTCAATTGAACTTTTAATGTCCGTGTTTTCTGAAAATAAGCAATTTATAGCTGTCTCTTTACTTGATCCTGGATGTCTTGAACTACTTCCTCCATAGACATAACAAAAGTATCAACAGTACTCTGACTAACACCTGCAGCTTGCAATTGTGCTATTGCTGATGCACACAAATCGGTAGTGTTTTTGCTGGGAACTGGCAAAGAACTGTCCTTTGAACATGTAGCCATATCAGTATTACTTGGTAGCCCAACTGCATTATGAACAACAGCATCATCTTCAACACAGAACAAAACTTGACTTCCTTCATGAACTCTTTTTAAGTGTTTGCGAAAACCTGAAAAAGTTGCAAATTCTACACAGCAACCTGCTTCACCACATTTTAGTCGAAGTGATTTGCCAGGCAAGAGCCCATGAATTAACTTTAGATGTCGGACAAGAACATTTGTGTTTTCCAGACAACAAAAACAAACAAAACAAATCATTTTTTCCAGTAATCAAATCTAATGCAGGAATCTAGCTCTGAGTTCGGCAACTCTTGGACACACTTTAACCTTGCCAATGTCAATCTGAAAAACTGTTGTTTGTACAGAGGTGTACATGTTGTGCAGGACTTTGCTGTAAGATGCACCAAACGCAAAGTGTGCTTTGAAAAGTTCATCAAAGGCACTGAGACCACTCACTGATCTGCACGGTATGGCTTTCTTGTCGAGAATGATGTAGTATCCATGAATGCTGTTCTTCTTTGGACCCATGGCAAGCAGGTATGACTGTGCTTTCTTCAATGGAGTCCAGGTGCTCTTGTATGTTAGTCCCGGACTAAAGATTAAATAAATAAAAAATTAAAACCAGCTCTCCAATTGACTCTCTCTACATTAGTTTTTCACAATACAATTAGCCCAACATACATTGATTTTAGGCAGACTACAGGTAATGACAGTAAAAACCAAATTTACCTTTTTGAAGATGATGAGGTGTTTTTCTGCTTGAGATGCGGACAGCTTTCCAGGTCTCTTTCTGACTTGTGGTGAAGGTGGGATCAAATTAAGTAAAAGAAGAATAGAAGCAATGTCACTGTTCCATCCTGGAAAAAACCCTCAGAAATGGCAACATCAGAAAAAAATACATGGAGAAGTCTAAACAATCTTATTCTGAACTCTGACAGTCCAACCTGCATCCCTCATTTCATTCTCCTTCACAGTCATTTCAGCACAGACAGTCAGGTCCTGAAGGGCTTGGGAGGAGTTAAGACTTTTGCTTTGCTGAATAACTTTGTGTGTGAATGTAGTTGGCCACCTTTCTAACAACTTAGAAGAAGTCTTTTCACCAAAGATCCAAACAAAGTCCTGTTCAATCTGCAAAAACATCATAAACAACAAACACTTGTGTAAATAATTTATTTCAGAAAGAATATTCAAAATTTGATATAAGTTAAGTTGACAGCATTTGTGGAATTATTTCCCACAAAAAATAATTTTGACCTGTCCCTCATTCTTTAATACAAACACAATAAAAATGTTTTAAACAACTTTACAACTCAAATAACGTGTTTGAACAGAAGAATTCATTTAAGGCCTTTGGAAAAAATTATATAATTGTATTATAATTACATTTCTGCCCTTAAAGCTCAAAAATGTGTGACTATGCACATCCATTGTAGTTTTTTTATTTCTTTGTAAATGGTAATGAACTATATTCCACAAATGTTGTCAATTGAGCTGAACTTGCATTAAACCTAGAATATTTGTTTAACCCCAACCCAATGACCGGGTTAAAGAAATTCTCTTATCACCAGATAGACATGTTCTCTCACCAGGCCTTGAACATCCAAGAAGTGTGGAAATTCCGTCAACACATCAGTGCTTCTGCTCGGGTCTTGAATCATCTTGTGACGGTACTGAAATGTCTCCTTCATTTTGATCTTGAGGTGTGTTTCATTAGAGAAACTGCTTCTCTACACTGTTCTTCAGTGAGGATAACATCTGTGCTGGATGCAGCCTCTCTTTCTGAAGTTGGGCCACCGCTGAAAGACTGTGAGGAACGTCTACAGTTCTCTGATGATGCACTGTTCCTCTGAATGTTCTTTATTTTCCAAGTCAAGTAACCGTGTCCACTTTGAGGGTCATAATAATGTTCCTTTAAAAGCAAACACATCTTAAGTAATGCAAAGGTGACCAACTACCCCATAACTAGATTTGAAAAAAAAAAAGATTTGCATTTACATATCCATTCTTTGTGTAGGGATCACGAAGATATGGAAACAGGGCAACGATTCCTTGGGCATACATTTCCCTAATATTTCTGGGTGGAGATGTGCTGTCAAAATAAAACAATGAAATATGAATTTAAGTATGTCTGCAAGTATGTCTGTTTATTAGTTACCCTAATATTCTGCTGTGGTATTGAGAATTGTACAATTTCTAAATGTCTCTAAAATGTAGATGTCATAGCAACCTTATTTACAGAAAATATATATGTGATATACAGTATCTCACAGAAGTGAGTACACCCCTCACATTTTTGTAAATATTTTATTATATCTTTTCATGTGACAACACTGAAGAAATGACACTTTGCTACAATGTAAAGTAGTGAGTGTACAGCTTGTATAACAGTGTAAATTTGCTGTCCCCTCAAAATAACTCAACACACAGCCATTAATGTCTAAACTGCTGGCCACAAAAGTGAGTACACCCCTAAGTGAAAATGTCCAAATTGGGCTATAATAAAATATTTACAAAAATGTGAGGGGTGTACTCACTTCTCTAAGATACTGTATATCACTATCTTTAAATAAATCACTCATATAAAGTTTTGGTCAAGTGGCCCACTCATAATCGTGTTAAATAATATTGAGATTACAATATTGACCAAAATAAATGTGATGATTTTTGCCATAATCAAGCCGCCCTAATTAATGTTCAGTTTCTTGCACAGACTGATTTTTTAACTTCATAAGACCTCAAATGTATCATCATGAGCCATGGGTATTAATTTAGTGTTGCCTGTTATGATTTTTTTGACTCTCAAAGGAATGGTAAGCATTGACTTGCATTATCTAAACCTCCAAGGACCACAGTTTCTGCTAAAAATCTTATTTATTGTTTTTCTTTAAGAAGCTGACAGAGATCAGGGCCCGTATTCACAAAACATTTTATCTTACCACTAAGAGTTCTCCTAAATAGCAGTAGCTGTTTTTCGGGCCTGTCTCTTTAAATGCAAATGAGCTGCTGCTCCCTGCCCCCTTTTCCAGAATAGAGCTGCACCTTTACAGCTCATACCTGCTAAAAACTTAACCTGTTTTGGTTCTGATTATCATGTTTATCGTGCTGAAATCATGTGTTTTAAACCATATGAGTCTAAACATCTGATATACGGTTTTCTGAGCGCACACATCCGAAGCACACGGACAGAAAGCGGCGCTCACCCCTGATAATTTGCCTCAGTTTCTTTAATTTGTTTATTTCTTTGTGATGATATTGTTTGTACTCTCCAAAACTGCTACCGCACGAAAAGATTGATCAGAAGATCAACTAAGAGAATTAAAATTAGTACTTAAACAGCCATTCATTGTTGTGTTGTTTATGTTGCGGTCCTGACCTAGACTGGGGCCATAACATAAATTGGGGGCTCATCCGGCCGGTTGTTCGTCACAGATGGTCTAAATTGGGCGTTCGTCCGTTGCGGATAACATAAATTAGGGACTCGTTTGGTGCAGGTAATAAATTGTGGAGGTTTATTTGGGCGTATCAGTGAAGGGTAAGATGAATTGGAGATTTGTTTATGGCTTGTTAATGAAGGTACCATATGTTGCGGATTCGTTCAGTACGTATCAATGAAGGTAGTTGGCGGAATTAACCATGCGTTTGTTTGCCTGGTAATTTTCTTTTGGTGCGGGACGAGTTTACGGTCAAATATGGAATTTGATTTAATGTTGTTCACGTTATCTCCTACTACGGAGGAATTTAACAAGTGTCGTAAGCAGTGTTGCGAACTGCTTTCAATTGAAAGTAGCTAAAACTGGTAGCTAAATGTCACTAGATGACATCACAATGGCAAATTCACTGATATATATAAAGATGAACGTAGATCAGTGGGCAAGATGAGAACTTAGATAAGGTTTGTCCAAGCAGTTGCTATATTTCCCCCTAAACTTTTGAAAAAAAAAAAAATCTCAAAAGGGGCGGGGAAGTCGCTTAATCTAGCTACAAAGTAGCTAAATTGGCAACACTGGTCGTAAGGCTGATTTGTTGCAGATTTCTTTAATTGTTCTGTTCCTAGGGAGGGGCCAAAACAGGTAATTAAAGAGAAGTTGTATAACAAGTTGGTAGAGGCTGGATTTTTGCCGGATGAATCTGTGGAAGGGTTACCACGGAAGAGTGTTGAAACTGAGGTAGGTGAGGACACTTTTTCTTTTCCTAACATAGATCCTAGTCATCCTCGTTTTGATCCTATGTTAGCGATTAAATTGAAGGAGTTGGATCTACAGTTAAAGAAACAGGATTATGATGCGCAGCTGCTTAATTTTCGAACTTTGGAGTTACAGGCTGATAGTAAGTTTAAATTTTGTAGACTGGAACTACAAGCCAAAGAGCAATCTAATGCACCTGTGCCTATGCCTAGGTCTAGACCTCCATCTCCTCGTTCGCCAGTGAATGTGTCAGTTTCAGCTGTATCGGAGCAAAGTCCACCACACGCTACTTCTTCGTCTGTTGGTGAGTCTGTAACCAGTCTTGATGTGAGTAAATATGTCACACTTGCTCCTCATTTTAGAGAGACGGAGGTAGATTCTTACTTCGTCGCTTTTGAGCGTATTGCAGCTACCTTACGTTGGCCGAAAGAGTTGTGGTCGTTGCTTCTGCAGTGTAAGTTAGTGGGTAAAGCTCAGGAAGTGTGTACAGCTTTACCTATCAAGCAAAGTCTTGACTATGATACTGTCAAAGCTGCGGTGTTGCGAGCGTACGAATTAGTACCTGAAGCTTATCGTCAGAGATTCCGAAACCATCAGAAAATAGCCAGTCAAACATTTAGTGAGTTTGCTCGTGAGAAAATGGTCTTGTTTGATGAATGGTGTACAGCAAGCAGAGTTACCACGTTTGAGCAGTTACGAGAACTTTTACATTTGGAGGATTTTAAAAGTTGCGTTTCGGAGGATATTGTTGTATATCTAAATGAGCAAAAGGTACTGTCCATACCGAAAGCCGCTGTTTTGGCAGATGAATTTGTGCTCACGCACAAAACTGTTTTTACTCCATCTGTGTGTAGAGAGAAAAATGGTTCATCTGTTGAATTTTCTGTGAGAAACAGCTCGAGAGTTTTTAATAAGGGTAAGGGAACACGAGGGAGTAGAGAAGCCATGTTGAATGTGTTTCGTAACACAAATGTGTCTGGTGAGGGAGAAAGACGCGTGTTTTTTTTTGCCGTGAGCCAGGACATTTAATTGTAGACTGTAAGCGCTGGAATCAGGGTAAGCCTCCTGAGAAACCAAAAGGAGTTGCTTTAGTCCATACTGCTTCCATGCCGTCTCAGTTTTCTATTTCGCATACTGAGTTATACTGCCCATTTATTACGAATGGTTATGTATCTGTTTCAGAGGAGCAGGGAGATTTGAAGCCTATTACAATCTTGCGAGATATGGGTTCAGTTCAGTCTTTCATCTTGTAAAGTGCACTAGAATTTTCTGAACAGTCATACTGCGGAGCGAGTGTGTTAATCCGTTTCATTGAGCTTGGCTGTGTTAAAGTGCCCTTACATTCAGTTTATCTCCAGTCTGATTTGTTCACAGGGTTCACAAAGTTGGGAGTACGTACTCAGCTTCCTGTTGAGGGAGTCGATCTGATTTTGCAATGTAATGTAATATTTGTAAAACTCACAGCACAGATCCTAATACTTTTTTTTTTTTTTTGGCATAGGCACACTAATTATTTCATAAGCATTTTGTAATAACACAGTTTGTAACATCAGCCAATCTGTTTACTTTACAGATGGAGCGTGGAGAGACCGGACAGGTCCCATAGTGCTAGATTTTCAGCACCCACACCCCACACAAATTAATATAGAAGTTCTCAATGATTAAATGTTAATATGATAGTTTATATTTAGCTGTGAAGTTATAGTTCATTGTCATAAATATTAACTAATTTTTTTTTTTTACATGATATGCAATTTTCACCAGTGTGTTCAATGTGTTAATGAGATTTTTGAAAGGGATTATCTTTAATAATTCAGATACCTGTTGAAATGCATATGTAATTATATTCTTGCTCATATCTGGAATTTTGTGTTAATACAAATGTTGAAAGAGAATGTTGCAACACTGCTAATCTTAAAATAACATTTTATTAAACTAAACTGTAATGTTCCAAGTAAATGTTTTTAGAATGTTGTATTTTTAATAAATGTAGGTGGAAAGAACGTTGTAGGAACATTATGCTAACCGTAAAATAACGTTTCAGCAACGTTAAGGTAACTGGACATTTTAATGTTCTTGGAATGTTCCAAATAAACGTTCATAGAACATTATATTTTTAATGAAATTTAGGTTGCAAGAACATTGCAGGAACGTTATGCTAACCATAAAATAACGTTCTAGCAACGTTAAGTAAACTAGACATTTCCACATTTTTGGAACATTCCAAATAACGTTCCCACAACCAAAACAGAGCGTTAGATAAACGTTCTCAGAACTTAAATTTGTTAGCTGGGGGGCCAAATCAGCCGCCCGATGGCCAGTCCATGCCTGCGGCTCACATATTATTGTTGCCCAGTTTGTGCTGAATACAGTGTTATCAGACTTTAGCCATTAATATGTTTTTAAGATACTGAAAAAAAACACAAATGTCAGCATGTCAAAACTTCTCCAGGGCCCCAAAACACCCTCAGACCCCAGAGGGTTAATATTTATATAGTTTTATAATGTTTCTACTTTTGTGTGTTTACTAGTATTATTAATCTATTATTATTTATTATTAGGTTAGTGTTTCGAGCCCACTCAGGGACTTTTTATTATTTTACATGTTTATATATTTATTTTTAAATACTGTTTAATATTTATATAGTTTTATAATGTTTCTACTTTGGTGTGTTTACTAGTATTATTAATCTATTATTATTTATCATTAAGTTGGTGTTTCGAGCCCACTCGGAGTTTTTATTATGTTACGTTTATATATATATATATATACACACACTTTGCTAATATATTTTGTTTAATAACATTTCTACTCGGCTTTTGTGTGTTAACCAGTATTATTAATCTGTTATTATTTATTATTAGGTTGGTATTTTGAGCCCACTCAGAGACTTGTTGATCATTTTACATGTTTATATGTTGATTTTTAAATACTCTTTGCTATTATATATATTTTTATAATGTTATTTTTACCATTGTGCATTTGCTTCTATTATAATTTGTCATCTGACTTTTTGTTTTCTTTTTTTGGTAAAAAGTAAAACATTTTAAAGTTCATAGAAGATTGACTTCTCTTCAGTCATCATTCTGTGAGCCTGGGTGAAAACTATATTATTATTATTATTATTGTTATCAATTATAATATTTACTTACATATGATTTGTATAGCACATTACAAACAACATCTATAAATATAAAATATAAAACGTCTACCATACAATAAAAAAAAAAACTTTTAATAAAAGAAGTGTTTAGACATAAAAACTTACAAAATGTAGCCTATGTGTTCATAAATTAAGAAAGGAATGCATACGTTGTATATGGTTTCCAGTAAAATACAGTGTTCGAATTGAGTGTCCCGGACCTCCCATAAGCATTAAGGGACCCCCCATAACACCCAAAAAATATACGTGGGGGGTCCCCTGGTTTTTCAATAAAACTTTAATACTTAAAATGAAGTTTTGAGTGCTGTATTAAATTTAGACCTGCTTATGTTACGTCATATTTTATTTTTACAGCGTTGCTCATTATAACCAATCACACAATTCTGTTGAGCTTAGGAATTCAGTAGCCAATCAGAGGCGTTCAGATCAGTTATCGCTGAAACCTCAGAGTTTTTTGTTCAGACTGAAACTCGCGAATTCCCTCATCGTAAGCAACAAAGTGCAGATGTACGTATGATGTGAGTTAGAGATTAATTTATCATACCGTGTATGGGCAGTTTAATTGATTATAAGAGGAGTTATGAGTGCTTAAACACTAGCTAGACTGACCGCTCATTTAGAGTGTTTTTTCACTGCATAGTATCATAAAATGCAGTTAGAATGCTTCCAAAATTCAAGATATGGGGGGCAGAAAATTTATATTTATATCATTTCATATAGTTGATTAATATCACACGAAGAGTGCCATTTCTTTCGCAAAAATCAGAAATGTGATATTGATTTTATACAACAGTTCAATAAACAAGAAGTTGATATTAAGAGACTTACGTTTTAGACACCATATTGCCTATTTTTTTTTTCTCTATTTAGCCAACAAAAATGGTTCCAAAACAAAGCCACAGCACTGTTTTGCGTCTCTGAGCAACATGACAGTGTTTTGTTCCTGAATGAATCAACCGTTTAAATGATTCGGTTCAGCCGCAATGACTAACTTATCAACAGTGACTTGCTGCCACCTACTGGCGGTTTTAATTTCACATTTAAAGTACCTTTTTATGTATTTTTAAATCATTTCAAATATCAGTATTCAACGTTTTAAGATTAAAATATCAAAACTTTATTTCTGCATTTGTAACTGCAGGTTAAAGCATTCATGCCTTGCATTAAACAGTGTGTATATGCATCTAAATGCCACTTCAGATGCAGCTTCTGTGTTTCCTCTGCATTGCATGAATTTTGTTGATAATTTTATTTGTTTGGTAACAGCCCCAAATGTCTTATTATTGTAATTGACTTTGATTAAATGTAAGAATTTGACACACTTCTAGAAAAAATGGTTTTACAAAGGTAAAAATGCCCATAAAGGGTCAAAATCATTTTAAACTTGTTGGAAAAGATTAATATCTGTCACTGCTGTGAACTGACCACCACACAGAGTCAGCTGTCCATGGCAGTCCTGCAGTGCAACACACTCAGCAAAAAAACTGATTATCTATCGATCGTTACCAATAAAATCCCAGAAAATATGTGACCCTGTCTGTGAAAACCAAGCTAAAGTAATTTTTTGGTGATTTTAGTTTTTTTTATATAAAATCATCCTTCATAAGGTAAAGAACATTCTGTGAAAATGTAACATTGATATCTTTATTACTGAGTAAGACCATGTCAAAGATTCAAAGACATCGCACACCCCTAGATATTTAATTCTTCTTTGCTTAGTGATTGTTTGGTACACCTAATTCACCAATCATTGTAAAATAATATCTTATCTTAAAATGAGGTTTTCAACGATAACGAGGAGGACAAGACACAAATATGCATCATATGTATATAAAGTTTTATTTTATTTATTTATTTAAATTGTATTTTTGTAATTTTTAATTTATTTATTGTGAAGGGGGGGGGGGGTCAAAGAGCTTTGACACAATTTTATTGTGAAGGGGGGGGGGGGCCAAAGAGCTTTGACACAATTCAAACACTGGTAAAATATAATTATCAAATCACACAAAAATTAATCTGGGTGACAAGAAATTTATTTTTATTCACAATCGGCATTCTTTGTAGACTTTGATGACCTTGTCTGAGGTGGGACTCGAACCAGCATCATTCACATCAGCGATTTTCCCTGTGAAATACATAAGTCAATTTTCTCTGAAATATGAACATCAATCTCACAAAAAACATACAGAAATGTGAAAAGTGGGTTTAATTTTTCCCTTTCTCCTTTTCTTCATTTTTTAAAAACTGTCCTTCTCTTTTCCCTCTTTTTCCTTCTCCCCACCCCCAAACAGACTATTGTTCCCCAGCTTAATAGTCTATAAACCAAGCATCAGGCTGTCTTTGAGTTCACATGAACAACGATTAAAGTTACTCGTCGTCAGGCTACAGAAGAATACCATAATTCCTCCGTTCAGTTAGGCCATCGAGAGTCATGCAGACCTACAACCCAGCCACAACACATAATTGCGAATAACATGCCTTACCTTAACACAGAATCGACCACAGAGACCAACGTT